ATCCATGCACTTTATTTAACTGTAAAATATAAATGCCATTCAGAAATTTTAGACACACTCAATTCATAAGGAGATAATATTCTAGTAAATATGTTCTCTTTTCTCTGGATATTATCTTTAGAAAAATCTACCCTGAAAAAGACAACTTAAGTATTATTTTCAAAAAACTGTTATTTTCAAGCTGCCCAGTACATATATGCACTTGCCATCAATGTGTAGCTGGAAGAAAAATAAATTCTAAGATAAGCTAAAAAGAAACATCAACAGAAAAATAAATATGCCTCCAAAAACAACTCTCAAGTGAACGAAATTATTTAAGAACTGTTTCATTCCAGATTATCAAAGATTCTTTATGGAAGTGGTCATTCAACAGTTACTTTCTAAGCCATTCTGAGGCCAGCATTATCTTGATAACCAAAGCCAGACAAAGATACTACGTGGAGAAAGAAAACTACATACAAATATCTCTTAATGAACATTAATGTCAAAATCCTCAACAAAACACTAGCAAACCAGATTTAATAAAATATTAAAAGAACTATATACAATGACCAAGTGGGATTTATCCCTGGAACGGAAGAATAGTTCAACATGTGAAAATTAATCAATGTAATAAACCACATTAAAAGAATGAAGGGGGGAGGAAATCATGTGATTATTTCAATTGATGTAGGAAAAAAAACACATGACAAAATTCAATACCCTTTTATGATAAAAACACTTAATCTACGAATGGAAGCAAATGACTTCAATATAATCAAGGGTTACCATATTGAAAAATACAGTATCATATTCAAATTAATAACCTACATCAAGGAAACCAGACTCATTAAAAATTTCCATAAGGAGTACTTACCTGCCAAAATTTTCTTGAATTGTCTAAACCATACGTCACAGTGGTCTTCACTTAAATTAATGAGATCAGTGTTGAATCCTTTAATTTATTTTGTTCCTTTTTCAAACATACGAAGAGTGTGATTCCTAATAAAGTGCCACTTCTCTGCTGTTGAACTGAATAACGCCGTTTCAGCTTGACAGAGAATATGTCCTTTAATTCAAGACATTCTTCTTTATGTAGAAAACCATCCTTGGAATCACCTGAAAAGAAGTTAAAATTTCCAATAAAAAAACATTGTGTCTATACCTTATATGAATGAATAATAAATAGTAAAAACCCAGAAAATATTTATCATTTGTATTTTTAACTGATTATGCTTTAGATCAAGCCCTGTATGAGATGGGAAGAAAGAAAAATTAGGTCTATTTTCCCGAAAATGAAAAAAACAGAAAATGGAAGAGTCCCTGACACACAAACCCTCAGACATTTAGAATCTGAGAATATTCAGTGTATGAAGAATTCCAAGAACATGAACAGAGCAATATTTCAGTAATAATAAATTAGTATCACCCAAGAGGCTCCCTGGTAATTATAGGGACAGAGTAAAGTAATAGAATAGAATTCACTAACAGAAGTGAGTTTACGGCAAGCTGTTGAAGGCAACATGTAACGGAAAGAAAATGTATATTCAAGGTAAAGTAACATGTGTGCAAAAAGGAAATAGAGTATGATTACTCTTAATAGAAAACAATTTGAATTCCTGCCAATCTAAAAAGAAAGATCCACCTGAATCCTACCATAGTCAGACTTTTATTTTATAATGGCATGATATTTTACTGGTTCTATCTAACCACAGGTCAGAAAATATTTGTTGTTATGATAAAGGACCATCTCAACTGACTCTCAAAGTAGAAGTGCTTTATACTTTTAAAAAAGTACTTTCAAAACTTCCACTCTGGCCATCATGGAATAACAGGGACTGGTTTTCACCTGAAACATCTAAATGGGCACACCAGAGAGATGAAACATCAGTCTTCAGACATGGGACATCAGATAGCACAGGACAGTGATCCCTGTCACAGAAGCTGTATGACTGACTACCAGCTGACTGCCTGGAGAGGGTCCCCAGGCCACAGAGCAGGTAGGGGAACCCCGGTGGAGCCTGGTTATCTCCCTGAGTTGAGGAGGATTGAAGGGTCCAGGAAAGCCAAGATAGCTATAGTTCACTGGGAAAATTCTATAGAAAAGGGAGCTACACAGAGAGAGGACTCCATAGATTTGCTCTTGGATCTTCAGTTGAGTTTGTATCAGTGTATGCGTGAGACCAGGGAAAGAACTACCCAAAGGGTTAGAGAAAATAATGCTCAGTGATCACACAGGTGTTTCTACCAGCCAAGGGGAAAAATAATGAAATTCATGGAGCACTGGGGAGAGTACTTAGAATAGTACTGTCTCATTAGTGAGCAGACCAAAGGCTGCTCTGATTCCACCTAACAAAGCTTAAAAGCAAACCTCAAAAGAATTCAACTGTTTCCAAGGAGCTTAACAACATCCTAGAACAAACCTTAAGAATATTTACAAGAATACAGAAGTATTCAGCAACTCTACATGGTAAAATTCCGGATCTCTCTCATTCAATCAAAAATCACTACACACGTTAAAAAGGCAGAAAAATATGACCCATGAGTGGAGAGAAAGAAATCAACAGAGGCAGAAATGATATGAGTGTTAAAACAGCCCCAGAAAGCAGAGGCCCTCTCTCAGCTCCCTTAACTCTTTTTTTTAAATTTTATTTTGTACTGAAGTGTAGTTGATTTACAATGTTAGTTTCAGGTGTACAGCAAAGCAGTTCAGTTATACATGTACATACATATCTATATACATATATTTTCAGATTCTTTTCCATTATAGCTTATTACAAGAAACTGAATATAGTTCCCGGTGCTATACAGTTGGTCCTTGTTGTTTATCTGTTTTATATATAGTAGTGTCTATCTGTTAATCCCAAACTCCTAATTTATCCCTCAGCTTCCTTTACCCTTAAGCAGGTACAATGCTATTCTCAGATTGGTGCAAAAACTTTCAGGTGCTTTAAGAAGTTCCTTCTTAACATTCTCATGGAGGTTTTTGGCCTCTCCCAAACATTTTTCAAAGGACAGACCCATAGCTCACAAAGCACATGCACCACTGAAAAAGAAAGAGTTTCTTCTCTTCAGTGTTTATAGTTTATAGTGGTGGGATAGGGATGAACCCAAAGGCAATTTTTCATGCCTGTCATTTACTCAGAAAGCTCAGGCTTCAGATCGGTGTAGTGTCTACTTCTGTTGTCACCCATTGACTTAGGACTCAATAACCCCAAAATATCAATTCAACGGTAAACATTTACATGTTCTAGAAAACAAAACAATCATCACTGTTCCCACAATCATCACTTAAACTAATCAACAGAGTGAAAATACTGTATCATCATAAGCCAAAATGTCCCACGTGCCTTCATGAACAGAATGCGTCAACCCACCTTGTCTCTGTAAGTACTAATGGATTAACCTGTGTTGGTACGATGGACTTTTCTCCAGTCCAGTGGCTCTCAAACTCAACGTACATTCTTGAAGCTTTAAAGCTTTTTAAAATAACTTTTGCTTATGTAGGTTACATCTATTGATATTTACTATATTAGACATTAAAACTGAGACTTTTTTAAACACAAGACTACAAAGCACACACTTCATCAGCCATCAAGGCTCAGCCCCCGGAAAGTTCCACTGGACCCCAGGGAGAGAATGAAAGTGAAAATAGCAAATAAGCTCTTAGTAATATTACAAAAACAGCTTGGACCTCACTAACTCCCTGAATGGGTCCTAGACCACACTTTGAAAATGCGGCTTAAGCATATTTTAGATTATTTGCTCCCTTTGACCAGAGAATGCAGTTATGATCTTTTATGACTCAACTTTTCAATTAACTAAAATTCTTGTTCCCATTTGAATACTCCAAATTGATAGAGAGACTGAATGGTGAGAGTTCCTTCCAATCTGCCTCCTTTGTTACAACCTCCAGATGTCTTTCCAAATTACCTTTCTTTCTAATCACAGCATAGTGTTTCGAGCTCA